TGTACTCGATACCATTATCTGATCTTAACATATATAACTTAGATGAAAATTGATTGGTGATTAGGTTGTGAAAGTCCTTAAAAGCATCAAACAAATCACTTTTAAGTTTTAAAAGATACAACCAGGTTACTCTAGAATAGTCATCAATAAATGTAACATAATATATATACCCATCAAAGGATTCTACACGAGAAGGACCCCAAATATCATAATGAACAAGCTCAAAAAGTTTACTAGTTCTAGAATTAGAGGAAACAAAAGGAAGTCTAGTGGCTTTTGACATTTGACAAGTTTCACACTTCATTGTGTTTTTACAAAAAAATGGAGACAACTTGGTCATCACATGTTCTGATGGATGGGCAAGGCGTTGATGCCAGAGTTGGTGTTCTTGAACTTGACTTAAGTTGACACTGAGCTTTTTGACAAAATTGGACTCCTTTAAGAGATAGTAGAGTCCATTCAAGAAGAACCCTTCACCAATCTTCTTCTGAGTAACTCGGTCCTAAAACATAACATTGTGAGGGAAAAATATGGCAAGACAGTCTAAGGTTTTTGTGATTTTTCCTATTGACAAGAGCTGAAAAGGAAAAGAAGGTACATAGAGAGCAGTGGAATCAGTATGCTTACTTAGCAATCTAATTTTTCCTTTCCCTAGAATAGGTTCCCCTTTCCCATTTGCAACAGATACATGAATTGGATCAATAGTTCTTTGAAAATTGTGGAGACTAGAGGGTTTATTAGTTATATGATCAGTGGCACCAGAGTCAATAATCCAAAAATCATGTGTAGCATTTGCATTAAGAGCAGTGGAAATGGCACTGATAATACCTGGAATATTGCCTTTCGATGTGTTCTCCAAGTCAGCCAAGAATCCAGCAAATTTCCTTAGCATTGTAATAGGGTTTTCAGGTGTCATTTCATCAGGTTCAGTGCTTCCTTGCTTTTTTTGAAGAAAAGCAGTTGATCAAGGACACATGATTTGTTGAGAAATTGGCCATCCCATCAGTTGAGGAACAAGCTGAATGAAATACTTTTGGAGTGACTCCACCCTTCCCACCTTTGATCATCCTGCCTTCCCTATCAAAATTAGGCTTTAACTCCGGATGAAGAATCCAACATTTTTCTCTCAAATGTCTATTCATGTTGCAATAAGAACATTTCCAGTTTGCTTTCTTGCCAAGCCCTATCACCAGTTGCTTTGTGATTTGTCGTGAAAACCCTAGCTTTAGAGTTAGATTTGGGCTCAACGTTCATCATTCTTCGTCGAGTTTCTTCTCTTTGGACTGCATGACACACAGTGGTAAAGGAGGGCAACTCTTGAGTCATTAACAAGTGACTACGCATGTCTTCATACTCCGCTCCCAAGCTTGCTAAGATTTGAAAAACCTTGTCTTCATCAGCCCTCTTCAATAGCACAGCGTAATCAGTCGTGTGTGGATGATACATATCGAGTTCATTCCACATGGATTTCATACTTCCAAGGTGCTGAACAAATGAGTGATCACCTTGCTTTAAAATAGCCATACTCTTCTTCAGTTGAAAGATGCGAATTGAGTTGTTTTGGCTGCCATACATGTCTTTGACAAACTCCCATAGGAGAAAGGAAGACTCTGAGTAGCTGAAAAGCTCAGACAGTTTTGGCTCCATAGAGTTAAGTAACCAGGACATGACCAGCTGATCAGTAGTATGCCATGCATCGTAAGTTGGTGAAGTGGATTCTGAGGGCTCAGAGCTTCCATTGATAAACCCTAGCTTCGATCTTCCTCCTAGAGCAAGTGACACAGCTTTTGACCAAGGAAGGTAGTTGAACTTGTTCAGTAGCACCAAGTAGAGTCGTTGATTTGGATTGTTCTCAACCCCTTGGGTTAAGTTTGGAGAGAAGGATGAGGCATTGTCTTCTGCCATCTTTATCGATGATGAGCAAATGAAGAAGTAAAAAAAAAAAAGAACAGAGTCAGGACCCTATGGTTCCTGCTCTGATACCATGTTGAGTTTTGGTTTCAATATTTGTTGTATATTTCATTAAGAATGTTACAAGAGAGTGAAGGCAACTCTTATAGAGAGCCAAAAGAAAGCTACAATAGATTGCAGGATAACTACACAAACACAATCCCTAAAATCTGCCCTAACAAGTGGAAAATCAAAAACCAAATTACAAGTAAAGAAGCTTTTACAAGCAACTAAGCAAGTTTGATGTAAGGTGAATGACAAGCTATGGAAAGTTAGGTTGATGTAAGGTGAATGACAAGCTATGGAAAGTGACTTTAGCCTATGACTTAGCTAAAGTGAGGATGACAACTCATACATACAACTCATCCATACAAACCGGTTTCAATAAAATTGTATAATTTAGACATTACTCTCGCTCTGCAGTCTCCATTTTAATTTCTCTATGTTTGAATATGTGTGTTTGTGTTTACAAGATAATTGATAGGAGCATATTTATGCGACTTAGTTGGCTTGTTCTTGTGCATTTATGTCGTGTTTCCTTAGTTATTTTAATGTTTAAAGTCATTTTCGTGTGTTTTCAGATTTTATGGACAAAGTAGGCAAGAAGATGCATTTTGGAGCATTTTGGAGCAAAATGGGGCTTGGAATGGATAACAAATGCATGGGCCAAAGTGGATGGACGAATTTGAGAACTAAAGAGGCCAAGAATATGAAGAATTATGGTCCAAAAGATGAAGAAAACAGCCCAAAAATCTGTCACCCCAACTTGCATTCCTTGCCATGCAAACCACATAGAATTCCCTTTGGATTCCCATGCCATGCTTGATCACTCTTGTCCCCTACATAATTTCTGATTTCATGCTTCAATTCATTTAATTATTACACTCAATTGCTTGATACCTCTTGTTCCCTTCACTCATTAGATTTTAGACAACATTTACATCCATTACATGCACCAATTGATGCTCCATCATTCACATTTGGAATCCAATGCCATGTGCAACACATGTTGTTGCACCTTTGACCCATTTGTTGACACATTTCACCTCCCTTTCCATCTCTATGCAATGTACACAATCATTCATGCTCCCTAGCTACAACACCACTCCATTTTACCCTTCACACTTTGCATCATTACTTCATTTTCACCCTTGGACCATTGCACACACACACACACACAAATTGCCATGCATTTCATCCTTAACCTAACCTGATTTTCTAAGGTTTTTGGGGCCTATAAATACATGTTTACACCCCTTGGCCAAAGGACAATCCCCCATATTCATCATTTTATCACAAAAATTCGTCCATACACACCCTAGGAAGCAAAACACCCCAAAAACACCATTCTAGTGCCTAGAAAACATAACAGCCACTCCACCTTCTTCCACCCTCTTTGCCTAGTTCTCCACCACCCTCCAACCATCAAACACTCCTCCACACTCACCCTAAACCCTTCCATACCATTCCCCATCCATTCTACATCATAAAACTACCCAAAATCTGTCCATAACCCAATCTGCCGCAAGCTTAGGGAAAGGAGGAATCGTGGATGCACTTGCTACCAAGTTGGAGCATTTTAGGTGTTTTCTTTCGTTTGATTTTAATGTCTAATTTTATGTATCTTTGCTTTGTGAGTATGAGGAACTAAACCCCTCTTAGTTAGGGGGTGATTCGAAACTATGTTCATACTTGCAATATGATTTGATTACATCTAGTTGTGATTCATAAGTTGTGAATTCAATTTACTTATCCGTTCATATAAAAACTAATTTGTGTATGTTGGTTAAGAGTGCACACTTAATTTTCATGCATGAATTTGACGGTAGAATATAAGGGAGTTTCACCTAATCGTTATAAACTTATATTCACAAGTAGTGAAGGTTGCTAGTCACAATCACGTTAAGTAAACTCTTGGCATAAGTTTCATGCAAATCATAGTAACGAGTGCCTCGTCAATGCTTATGTTTTTCATAGAACTTAATGATTCTTGCTTGTATCTCTATTATGCAATTCATGTAGGGAACTTGTAGGGAATGTTTTGGGTTGTCGTATGCAATCATCCAACCTAATAACTTGTGGAAAAAACTGAGGGTTAATTAGTGCAATTCACGGTTAATTTGGGGCGTTGAGTATTCATAGCTTATCGAAAAGCAACTGGAAATTGTTTTGTATGCAAGTGTGACATATGTGGAGAAGAACCTCCTAGCTAATCTTCCATCCATAAGTTTCATTCAAATTCACTTACAATCTGTTTTGGTTTTACAAAGTTGTTTTGTTTTCAAATTCATTAAAACCAAAATCCCCCTTTTACTTTATTGTTTCAAAGTGTTTAATTTCTGTTTTGGTTGTGTGTTAGAGTGTTTTTGATTCACCCAAATTTGTCTAAGAATTTGTTTACTTTGTTCTTTGTCTTAATTTAATTATTTTCGTCGAAAATCAACCCCATCTTATTTCTTTGAGTCATATTAATTAGAACTTGTCTTAGATTATGTTTTTAAGTGTTTTAGTTCATTAGAAAACCAAAATTCGTCCAAGTTTGTGTTAGAGTCCCAAAACTGCCCAGATTGTGTGTTTAAGGTAGTTTTGAGTGTTTAGGGGCTGTTTTGAGTCTTTTGGTTTGTTTTAGTGTTTTAAAGTATAGTTTTGCATTCTTTGAATCTAGTTAGTGTTTTAAACTTTGTTTTTACGTTTTCAAGTCAGTTTCCAAGTGATTTAGCAATCCCTCCTAATCCCCAGCCTAGAACGATCCCTACTTACATACTTTACTACAATTGATAAAAAGAGGGTTTAATTTGTGTGTTTAGTTATTTTACGCATCAATAATTTAAAGTTGAATTTTCGATCCGTAACAACGTGCTGGTAAAATTTTCTAGTATCTTTCCACATATGAAAAACATGTTGAGTTGTCGACTAATACTAGTCTACTTAAAATGAGGAGTTTGGTCTGCACATTGACCCATCGCCTGCCATTCTTGACTACGCGTTACTCAAACCCCCAAAAACTCTATTTGTTTCACCAACCCCCCCGTTAATCTGTTCTAAATTACTCGAAATAACATTCGAACTCGGGTGTAAATTGACTTAATCCGTTATTAAACATCCAACTGTCCCAACACCACAATTATCAGAAATCACAGGAAATCAAGATGATTAAGGCCTTCCCATATTCCCTAGTCTTCCTCCTATTCATAATCCCCATCACCTCCTCCTCCACCTCCACCTCCTCCTCCTCCTCTTTATGTCCCATAGATTTCAGCTACGTTGACACTCTACCGTGGGACCATTCAGTGTGCATAGATCCCCTCGGAAAATCCTGCTGCCAAACCCTCCTAAGCTTCCTAGGCATAGGCCTTGCCCAACACCTCAGAGAAACCTCACTCTTCCAACTCCCCAACTCAAACTCCTTATCCTCCTGCCTCTTGAATCTGCAGACCAAACTCGAACCCCTCGCGCTTGCATCTCGAATCCCCATGTGCTTTAACTCAACACAGTTTGTGGGCAGCCCTTCTCATTGTGCCGGGATAATAACAGTCCAGGACTGGATAGCGAGGGTCGGGCTACTGACCCCCCTGAACACTGCCTGCAAAGGAGACTTGGAGGGACTGACAGAATGTCAATCTTGTGTTGAGGCCGGCAAGTTGGTGGATGAGCAGTTGCATGGTCTCGACCCAAACGGCAAGAAATGCTTTGGCTTCATTGTGTTGTATGCTGCTGGGATTGTTAACCAGTTGGGGCCGAGTGATCGCGGAACGGCTACTTGCATTCTCGGGTTGCCTCTTTATGGCTCCGAGCGCGAAAAGGAGATGAATGAGATGAGCGGGAAGAGTTTGATGATATGGGGTTTTGGGGTGTCGGGTGCTGTCATTGGTGTTTTGGTTTCCGTTGGGATTATAGTTCTGTACAAGAGATGGGATAAGAAGGAGAAGCAAAATGCACTTCATGAGGATTATGTAACTACTTTCAGAGCAAACTATCTGCCCAATTTAGGAGCAAAATGGTTTGCTGTATCCGAGCTTGAAAGAGCCACTGGTGGATTTGCTCAAAAGAACATGATTGGGCAAGGTGGATATGGGGTTGTGTACAAGGGAACACTTTCTGATGGGAGTTTTGTTGCGGTGAAGCATGTTGTTGATTTGGACTCAAAAGGAGATGAAGATTTTTTGAATGAGGTTGAAATCATAAGTAAAATAAGGCACCGGCATCTTCTTTCACTTCGAGGCTGTTGTGTAACAAGTGATGATTTGAAGGGCAAAAGAAGGTTCTTGGTGTATGATCTTATGCCGAATGGGAATCTCAGTGATCAATTGAGCAGCAAGCAGAGATTAAATTGGCCTCAACGAAAGAACATAATCCTAGATGTGGCGAAGGGGCTTGCTTACTTACATTATGGGATCAAGCCTGCCATTTATCACAGAGACATAAAAGCCACAAACATACTATTGGATTCGGAAATGAAGGCGAAAGTTGCGGACTTTGGATTGGCAAAACAAAGTTCAGAGGGACAATCTCATGTCACAACAAGGGTTGCTGGCACGCGTGGCTATTTGGCACCAGAATATGCCCTCTATGGACAGCTGACGGAGAAGAGTGATGTTTATAGCTTCGGCATTGTGATTCTTGAAATCATGAGTGGAAGGAAAGTACTGGACTCACCAAATTCTGATTCAAATTCTTCGTTTATTTTGATCTCAGATTGGGCATGGATGGTTCTGAAATCAGGGAATGTGGATGAAATTTTTGATGAGGCAATAAGGGAGGGTGGACCAAAGGGTGTGATGGAGAGGTTTGTGCTTGTTGGACTTCTTGTGCTCATGTCATGGTCGCTTTTCGGCCCACAATTTCTGAGGCCCTCAAGATGTTGGAGGGTGATATTGATATTCCCAATTTACCAGACAGACCAATGACACTTGGTAATGAGTCACATAAAACTTCTTTTGGTTTTCTAGGTTCTTGCCAAGTGAAAGATCAAGATGGGAACTTCTAACAAATGAGTAGAGCACTAGGAGTTTGACTCTTACAAATTCCTCGAGTACTCACTGCTCATGGCCGGTGAAAACTATTTTGCATCTCTAGAGGGTCTGTAGTAGCTAGGGCTCAGATGGTTTTGGGCTGCTATGTCGGTTCCCAATCAGGTTTAGCTCTCCTTTATCTTGTGTTACTGTGTTTT